GCAGGGCCAAGGGCACCAGCCCGGCTGGGGCCAGACGCGGGAGCCCGGGTGCTCGCCCGCCTCTCGGAGGAAGAAGGTGAAGTTCACCACCTTCACCACCATCCCCGCCGACGACGGCCGCCCCACCGTGAACTCCATCCTCGGCGGCCAGGAGGAGGACATCAAGTGGGTGTGCCGGGACCTGGACGCGGGCGCCCCCAGAGGACTCAGAAACTATCTGGAGAAGTTCAAGGACAGCGTGTAGGCCCCTGGCCATCGCCTCGGCCCCAGAGCAGATCCTGGGGCTGCGCGGGCGCTCGGGGGGCCGCGGGTGGGACAGGGGAGCTCCAGGGCCCCTCAGAGACCACGTGGCATTTTTGAAGCCGGGAAGGGACGTTTTTTGTAATCAGTGGTTTTTTAGCAGCCTGATGAGGGCGGACAGACTGGGAGCCAGGCCGACAGGCGTTGAGCCATGCCAGGCCGAGGCGCAAAGGTTATTTTATGAGTCAGGATGAAATGCAGACAAGCTACCAAAAATTATTTGTTAAAAAAGGCAAAAAGACAAATAAAAAGTGACAGAAATAATCAGCTGTTTATATTTCTAATAAAAGAGCATAAAGGGCCCACAAAGAGACATTTCCATATGAATGCGACGTCCCCATTTCCGAGGACAGCCTTGGACTGTCCCCGCGGGGCTGGCAGGAGACGCCTGAATTTTGGTCGCCTGAGGGTTTTGAATCCTTGCTCCATCATCTTTTTTCCCTCCTTGTCTGTCTTTCCGTTTTTTCTCATGTTTTTTTTCTTTTCTATCCTAGACTTCCATTTGATTTTTATTTAATGTTTATTTCCAAGGATAAAATGGCATATTTTTCTGAAATTAAACATGAATTATATTCCTGTCCGTTCGACGAGCTTTTAGACACAATGTCAGTTCATTCCTTCTTTAAGTAGTAAGCCTGAGGCTTTCCTGTATCCCTCCGGCTTTGTCGATGTTTGGTGAGCTTTTACAATGGCACGGCCTTTTGGAGGTGGGAGTTGGGGGGCAGGGGGAGCTGCCTTGACCCATCGCCACCACCACCAACACCAACAACACGCTAGGGACAAAGCCACTTCGGGGGACATTGTCAGAGGCTGTTCGCACAGGACACGGCCAGCAGCACGAGCCCAGCAGGGCCCCTGACCTCTCAGCCGCGGCTTCGCTGGTGTCGTGGGGATGCTCACGCATCGGGGAAGGTTGGGTCAAAGCCACAGGTGAGACAGTATTCCCAGAGGGAGTCGGCACCAGCGTCCTGGGGCGGCTCTGTCGCACGCGCACCGGTAACAAGACACAAAGATAAAAGCCATGAGTTTCCTCCCGACCGCTGGGCGGGCTGCACCAGCACAGACGGAAAAGGTGAACGTCTATGTTCGATGGTCAGTCAACCGTGTTTTTCGGCGGCCCGACTGCACGGCAGCAGCACGCTGCGAAACGCATTCGTCCAAAGCAAAGTGTCATGACGGGCAGGGCCACGGCACGGGAAGGGGGCCGCTCGGCGGTGCCCGCCCCGACCCTCTGCGGCCACAGCTCATGGAGTGAGACGCCGGCTCTCGGATCTCGAGGATGCTTCTCGCGTTTATTTTTTTAATTACGAAAATCAGTCTCTAAGACAGGGTCCTTGACGCCTCGTAACCTTAGCCAGACCTTTGAAAAAAGATCTTTCGAGCACATGCCATAGAAGGAAAGAAGGACTGATTTATTTATACCTGTGGTGCCGGTTGTCATTAAAATGCTTTCCATGGCTTGACACGTCCGTACTGTGTGGGGTGTTTCTTGTTTCATCGAATTCCTGTTTCCTCTCCCCTCCAGACGCGCAGCTTTCTGAGACAGTGTCCGCTCGGCGAGAGGGAGGGCGCGCGCCTGCCAACCTGCTCGATTCTCTTCCTCTTGGTTTCGTGATGGATCCAGAGTGGTTCCTAACAACGAAACCTTGCGATTCGTGGACCTCGGTGGTTCTCACACTCGAGCACGCTCAGAGTCGCCAGGACGGCTGGTGACGCACAGCATGGTGAGGTGGGGCCCGTTAATGTAAAAATGACAGGCTGATGTCAGAGGCAGCAAGCGTTTATGTGCTGGGGAGGCGCCGATTCGGGCCGAGCCCAAACCTGCTCCGATGACGAGACAAAGGCCACGGAAGGGAGGCGTCGGGGCAGGTGCACGCGGCAGGTGCACACGGCGGAGCCGACTCTCCACCGCGTTGTGCGTTTTCGGTCCTGCAGGCGTCTGTCCCACGTCACGCGTGCTTTCCTGTGTCACACGCGCTTTCCTGCGTCACCTCTGCT